TTTCATTGAGGATATCTCTGTACTTTGCTCCATTCAGCTTTCCCTCAACCCTGACCAGTCTCCCAGTGAAGGGGGTCTGAATACTTTCCGAATGCACTATATATGGCTGCCCATCTCATACAAAGTGACTCTGGGCAGTGTGTTTTTACTGTGTTTTTCACTGAATTTTAAAGGCACTAAACGTAGCCAGATATAAAACAGTGACTCAGAAATGGAGGTGCAATTTGTCTCTAAATACATGCTCAACCCCAGACTTTGGAATTTGTTTTTCAGGGCCAAAGCTGTATGAATATACTTTCACAAAATAGACGTACTGTATATTCTTGTTTTCTTCCATATTTTCTTTTTTAGTTTAATTTAGGATGGAGAAAACCTTTTGGTTTTACTCTAATTTAATATTTTTAAAGTTTTTACTTTAATATTGAGAAATTGACTCTCTAAATTGTTATGCTGAAAGATAATTGCTGGCCCAAAGTCATTCAAGTGAGTTTCATAGTGGAGTGGGGATTTGAATTTGCTTTCAGAAAGCATTGCAGAGCTTTTCTGTCTTGCCTGCTTAACAGATTTTTTGGAATTAAGAATAAAGGTAGAATTGGTGATAAATACAGGAGAGCTTGAAATGGATTTCAATTCCAACTGGACGCACTTCTAGAATTTCTTGAATAATGTAGGGTTGTTTTACAACAAAAATTTCATCAGAACATATTAGGAGGGATATCAAAATATATCACATGAAAATGGCAAGAAGAAATCCTAGAAAATATTGTTGCCGCACAGAGATTCTTATGGCATACTTAACAATTGTGACAAGAGTTACTGGGATCAATGTGAACAGAGTCAGAAAAAAATAGTGCCAAAGAACACTTGGGCCCCATGGATCAAAGAAATCCAACAGCCACCTTGAGAAAGAAAAGTCAGGTGGTGGGTGGTTCCCTGCTAAGCGGAACCAGAGTGGTTGTATGCAAACCCAAGTTCCAGTATAAAGTCATGGAAGAGGGTGGTCTTCCAGGTGCCTATATAAGGACATAACAGGAAGTTTAGCAGGATTATTCAAGCTGACTAACTACCCTTTCCTCCTGATCCATGTGGAAATGAATGACAAAGCCAGAAGAGACCTTGAATTACTCTCTTGGGAGACTACAAGGTTTGGGTTAGAAGATGAAGGAACTGGGAGCACAGGTATTTTTTTCATCAGTCCTTCCAGTTGAGGGTCATGGCTCAAGAACATAATATAGGATCTTAGAGGTCATCAGTTGGCCACACAGATGGTGTTCCAAGAAGGGCTTGGATCCTAAAACAATGGCGTATGCTTCCTTCACAAAGGACTTCTAGGAAATGATGGGGGATCTTACAAAAGTTGGGAAGTATTTAGCAGGCATCTCACCCATGTCATCTAGAGGGTGTTACCCTAGAACAAAAGAGTAAGGTTGGCAAAAGTCCAGAACCAAATATGCAGCCAAGAACTGGGGTCAAGAAAGCAGAACGCAAAGGGAGAAGCAGGAGGTCAGAATGTGGATGCAGTATACTACATCAGAGATACCAGTAGATGGTGCCAATTCAGAACCTCTAATATTTCTACTCCAGTGCACGGAGTATGGGATATAAACAGGGAGAATTAGAGATTGTAACTCAGGAAAACAGATATGATATGATAGGCATTATTGAAACTCAAGGGATGATACTCATGATTGGCACATAGGGTTGGAAGGCTACAGATTATAGAAGGAACAGACCCAATAGAAAGGATGGATTTTTGCACTGTATATAAAGAAAAAATGTACCTGCATAGAAATTAATAAATCAGAGCATGGAAATTTTATTGCAAGTATTAGGGTTAGAATAAAAGCAAAAACAAAAACAAAAAAGTTACATCACTGTGAGAGTTTATGATAGAGCAGACAGAAGATAAAGAGGAGGTCTTTCTGCATTAGATGACCAGTCTTCCAAAGAGGCATGCAATTTCAATTACCCTGACATCTGCTGGAAATGTAATCCTACCAAGAGTCAGTGGTCCAACAAATTCTTGTCTTCTCTTGCTGACAATTTATTTTGTCAAAATGTGAAGAAGTGAAAGTGACTGTACCTTGGTGTAAAGTTATGTGATATTTGAATTTGTGACATCTAGAGAAGTCAGAACTGGGAAGAGTTCGACCTACTTATAGGATTTCAGAAGAGCAAATTTTGATAATCTGCTTAAGAAGATGTGTCCAGGTAGGATAGGAAATTCTACAGAATGAGATATTGAGGGCATAATTGTAAATAATTCTCCCAAGTAGGGAAAATGGGAGAAACTTTAGGAGACTATCATGGATGCACACTGAATTCTCTAAAATATTGAAGAAAAAAAAGACATGTGCAGGAAGAAAGGGAACATAGTCAAAGAAAAATACATGATAGTCTCTAGAAACTGTAGGAATTCTATCAGAAAGGCTGAAGCTCAGAAATAACTGAAGCTTGCAAGAGATATCAAAAACAACCAGAAGGGGTTTCTGGGTATGTTAGAAAGAAAAGGAAAACCAAAAAGGGTGTAGGT